TATATAATTAAAAGATAAAACTTATTATAATATATTATATATTTATATAATTAATTTAAAAAAAAAATTTTTTAAAAATATTAGTTATTCATAAAAGTAAATCAGAAGAGAATTTATAATAAATAAGCAGGCAAATTTGCCTGCGAAATCCTACAATCTAAGGGATAATACTGAAATTCCATAACTTATTTACAATAAAATGCAATAAAAAATTATTTAAATACATATTTTGTATATATATTTATAATAAATATAACATATATTAAAAATGTAAAAATTAAAGTTAAATAGGTGGAGAAATTGATAATAAATGCTTAAGAAATTGTTTTAGAAAAATTGCTTTAGAGAAATTATTTTAGAGAAGTTACTATTAGAGAATTGCTATTAGAAATAAAAATTGAAGAAATTGCTGTTTTGCTATTAGAAAAATTAATAAAAAATGATTAGTTATTAAATATATTATTTATACTGAATGTATGCTTTATATCTTGTAATATATTTAACAATTTATCCCACTTTTTTGATTTCAATTAAGAATATTTTTTTGAGTATCTTTATAGAATTGTTCAAGAAGAGTTTCAATTTTTAATAAGATTTTAGTTTTGAACATGTTTTCTTTATTTTATTATATATCTGCTTCCTGTTTTATAATCGGTATTAACTTAAAAAGAGAAGATGGTTTTTTGTTAATAAATACTTTAATAATAAATTTTGTCAAGCCTGTTTTGCTAAATATGTAAATTTTTTTAATTATTTACTTAATTCATGATATTTTCCTAGCTTTGACAAATAGTTCTTATATTCATTAGATTGGTAAATCCAAAGCTTTTCAAATGAGTTCAGAATCTTTAACATTTCATAGTTAATTCTGATTAAGTTATTAGTTCTGATATTTAAAAATATTATAAACAATTAAATCAACATTAAATTACTATTAGATTTTGAGGTAAAAATTTGTCAATCATTTATTAAATTATAAAAATAGCTAATATTTGTTATAAGAAAAACTAATGACGTTGTTTCATAACTTTATAAAATCTTGTGATAATATATATAAGTACCATAAAAATAAGGCTTAATAAAAAAAATAATTTATTAATATAATAAAACTTTATTTTTCTTTATAATAGTTATAAATTTGGCATATATGCATATATAATACACAGTAAAAAATCATATTATTTGACATATTGCCAAGCACAAATTTTAAATTTTTATTAGAAGTTATTTATATAATATTATTGATAGTATTATTATAAATATTTTGAATCTATATTTTCTTCTAAGGATTACAAGATTATGACTTTTTTCTATTTACGCAAAAAGGTCAAAATCTAATTTGCTATTATATTCACATCTTCAGCAATTTTTCATGTATCTATTGTGTATTTAATTTTTATCGGAAATTTGCTATTTCAGTATGAAATATTAATTCTAAAAGATACTTTACTTGAAGAATTATTCTTTTTATTGATCTATGCTGATTATGCTGATATATCTTTTTTTTAGAGTCTATTTACTAATAAATACCTGTTAATTATATAAAAATAAATAAATATAACCAATAAATTAATATATAATTATAAAATATTTGTATCTTGTACCTTTTGATTCTTATTGATCCATTATTTTCAATATTTTCAGGTTAATAAATTATGATTCTGTAAATAATTAAATTGATTTATTATCAAAATTTTATATGTCAAATTGAATATCACTTACTATTTTGTATATTATAAGATATAGTAATTAATATAATATATAATTAAAATGTATATATTATAATGTTTGCTTACTTAAAAATTAAGTTAAAATATAATTAATTTCTTTTATTATAAATTTTGAATTTAATAATATATTTTAAGCCTTTTTTTAGTAAATATATATTAGATTATTATTAAAATAATTAGTATTTTTAAAAAAATTTAATAAAATAAGAGTTTAATATTTTTATAAATTTTATAATAAATTTTATTAATTAATAATTTTTAAATAATGTATTATTATAAATGATGTTAGTAAATGAAATTACTTCTGAATTTGGTTTATTAATCTAATTTTAATGTAAATTTATTATTTTAGAAAAAAAATATGATAAGTAAAAACTGCTAAACATTTATTTACACAAAATGATAAATGAATTTTGAAATACAAAGAGTGGCCTTTACTATGAATGCTAAAATAATCTAATTAATTAATCTTAGGAATATGAAAATATCACTATTTAATGCTTTTTTTATAAGAAGGATTCAATAAACTAAATTATATTTTTTTTGCATTTATTAAATAAAAATTATTTTTAAAGATTTAAAATATTTTAAATTAATGCTAGAAATATAATTATAATACTATTAGATATATCATAATTAAACAAATCTAATAAGCTAAATTTTATCATTTCATCTTTTTATGATTATTAAATATTAAAATATCTTTATTTTTTTATAATTTTTAATAAAAAATTTTATATTAACCATTTAAGGAATAAGTTAAATATAATAAAAATACATTTTTAATATTAGTATATAACTATTTATTTAAGTAAAATAGTTAATTAGTTATATAAACACCTTTTTAAGAAATTGTGTATTGCAAATACTTATAAAAAAATGATATAAAACATAAATATTTATAATTAATAGATTTTATTATATTAGATTTATTATATATAATATTTTTTATTTTATTATAATTACACAATTTTATTATCAATATTATCTGTATTATTATTATAAACAATATAAAAAAAAAAATATTATTTAACGATGATTGCTACATAATTCTCAAAATTAGTGGCTTTTATATCCAGTATAAAGGAACCTCCTGATCTTTAACTTTTCTCAAATTAATACAGACTCGGAACTTTTTTTAACTTAAAAAACTTTTGATTATTTATCCAACTTTCGTATTTTAGATATCGTAATAATCCGTCTACATTTTCATATAACGAATTAGTATCAATGTCCGATCGAGCGTCAGAGTCTAACAATTCTAGTGCTAATAGAACTGCTAATAGTAGAAGTCCGTATTTTTGTCATCAATGCCATGTTGACATTGAGCCTTTAATGGCTCCCAATCCAACCTGTCCTCGCTGCAATGGTGAATTCGTAGAAGAGGTTAGTATTTCTACAATATATCGATTGGTTTAGACACGACTGAATGGTCTAATGAAACTATATCTGAGGCGGGTTGCCTCTTCTGATTCTTTTTATTCAAATTAGATTGTAGAAAATAATGATCTAAGGGAATTTGTTGAGCATGGTGGAGGGCAGGAAACCGATGATGAATTCGATGATACTCAATTTCCTACGGGAAATCCTCAAAATGGATTAAACGAAATTTTACAACTCATTCAGAGTATGCTCAGACCTAATACTCCTGTGCGAGTACAAACAGAAAGTCGGGATGGTACAACTACAACAACTATAACAGCTACAGGATCAACAATAATGCCAGCAACAGGAAATACTGTCCGACAAGATGAAGGTCAGAATACTAGTAATACTAGTGATGACCGTGCATCTCCACCATTTGACATTGCACAGTGAGTTCTGTTTTAAATATTTGGAAAAATTATTTAGCAATATTTTCACCTTCATATTAAGATATTTGTCTATTACAATTTTATTTATTTATTTTTTTAATGATTTCAGATTAGTTAGAATGTTAGAAAACTTTGGAGCAAATAACGCAGCAAATTTCATGAATATATTTAACATCGCAGGTGATCCAGCAGATTATGCATGGAATAATACAGGATTTGATAATATCATCTCACAATTGATGGAACAACAAGCTGGGTACGATTGATTTCATGCACATAAATTTTTTTTTTGTTAATGAATTTTTAAACTAAAATTGTCGGAAAAACTTAACATAAAATAGAAGACAAGCCCCACCACCAGCCACAGATGAAATGATTGAGAATTTACCAAAGACGAAGATCTCAAAAAAACAAATCGGTTAGTGTTTGTATGTGTTCCTTTGATCGATAATGGAAATCATGATTCTCAACTGTTCAAAATTTCCATCATGGCATCATCTTTCTTACACTGGTGAATGAATGTACTCTTCCATAGTGGAAGAACAATTGGGGTGCCCGGTTTGTAAAGATGAATTTAAAATAGGCGAAGAAGCGGTAGATCTGCCTTGCACTCATACTTTTCATTACGATTGTATAAAACCATGGTTAAAAATGAATGGAACTTGTCCTGTATGGTATGTAATATTACTGTGTTCAAGTATTTATTGGTTTGATTATAAGGTGGAGCCAAAGTTCTTTTTGATTTTCTTTATAGTCGGTATTCGTTAATCATTCAGGATAATAATGAACAAAATGGTAATGATGGTACTGGTTCATCAGGTAATAATAATAGCAATAGATTCAGCTCAGCATTTCGATTCAATTCCAATTCTTCTCTGCCTGGAACATATCCAGGAAATCAGCAAAATAATGGACAGAATCGTCAAGGTGATTCGAGTGATCATATGGACCTGGATCATGAACCTGTTGATTAATCAATAATGGTTAAAGCAAATTTAAAAGGTTTTATTGGAAGGACTTTTCGTAATCGTGTTTATTATTTGTGTTTGTTTGTCCATGATTTTATAAACATTCATATAAAAAATATGTTCTCCTTTGAAAAGAAAATTTTCAATGAATAGCAAGTTATAATATGCAATTTTCTTTATTTTATTATTTTTTTTATTCTATTTATCTTTCATATATTTTTTCTTTATTTTTTTTTTTGCAATGATATAATATGTAATAGACAATTTAATTTTATAGCCAATTCCCTTTTTTAACCACAAGTAAGCATAATATTATTATAAACTTTCCTTATATCATTATGAAATTTTTAAAAAAAGAAGTTATAACGAATGGTTTAAAAATGACTTTAATTACGTTTTTTATTATAATTTGAAATACATGAAATTTTTATACTGTATTTAAAAATAAATTGAAGGTATATCTCTGTTTAATACTTTTTATTATCTGTATGATTAATGGTGATTAGGAATTACATTATACTTACCAAAACGGGCAAACTTAATAAAAATATTATACATGATGCCTGACACAAAATTCATTAATACGTTGATAAGCTTCTCTTAATTTCTCGGCTGGAGCTGTAATTACAATTCGAACTATTGAATTAAATAAAGGCGTGTAACGTTAAATAATGCTTATTTTCACGATATCATGCATATGCAATGCATTGAAAATCATTGATCTGCAATGCTTTATCCTATTCAATTGTAGTTTCCAAATTCACTGCTTACAAGGTATAACAGTGAATTTTTTCCCTTTATGCATAGATAAGAACACGAAGCAAAATAAATAGCTTACCATAATTAGGATAGTGAAAACTCTAATTAAAATAAATAAAAAGATAATTAAGGTCATGATTTAATGCGTTTCACTCATCCTTTCTTTCGAAACTTACCTTTCCCGGTAAACATAAGACTGACTCTTCTTGTACCAATTTTTCACTGAACTCCACATCATTGTTTATATCTTTAAACTCTCCCACATTAATTCCAACCATCATGAACATAGCACCTTGAGGTACAATAACATGTAGACCAGATATTTTCTCCAAGAAACTGGCACTTAATTTTGCATTTTCTTGTAAAATCATATTGGTCGCATCATAAAATGATTGAGAAGTATTCATTATAATATCAGGTAAAGCGCATTGAATTAAAGAATTAGCTCCAAGAATCAAATTTGCTAAAGAAGCTAAACCATCACGTATTTCATTTAATAAGTTATTACGATCATGTATAAAAATCCATCCAACTCTCCAACCTGGAACCAAATATCTTTTTGCTAATCCACTAATTTTTAATATCGGAACTGTCTCAGATAAATTTGCTAATGGATAAAAAATATTATCTCCAAATACGATATCTTCATAAATTTCATCACTTATTACTGGAAGTTTATAAATTTCACATAAATTTAATATACATTCTAAATGTTGACGAGTAAAATTTGATCCACATGGATTAGACGGGTTGTTTATAAGTAAACAAGCTGTATTATCATCAATTAAAGATGCTAAATGATCTAAATCAATTTCCCAATTATGATCAGGCTAAAAAATTCATATTAAGTAACACTAGAAATGGTCAATAAATTGAAAACTCGAAAAGTAGGAAAATATTCAACCAACCAATAAATTGTAGTAACGACATTCAATTCCTTTTGATTCTGAGATAGTTTGATACAGTGAAAATCCGGGCCTTGGAAGAAGAATATTTTGTCCCTCATTGCATAACGCACCAATTGCAAGACCTAACGCATCCGAAGCTCCGCTTGCTATAACGATATCCTAATAAAAAAACATTTTTTTAACCAATATAGAATTTTAATGGTAATTTGAATAGATCCCAAAAAATTAAATTACCATTGGGGTTAAGGGGGCTTCCATCGTTGAAAACTTTTTGGCAAGAGCAATTCTAGCACTTTCAACTCCTACAGTATAAAAATGTTATAAGAATATGATATGTGTAGAACATTATAGGAAAGCTTACCAACTGCCGGTAAATATCCATTTGCTTTATGTGATTTCAATTGTGTTATAATTGCATCAATACAATTCTCGTCCACATTAAGATTACCATAATGCGTAGGATCACCTATTTAAACAAAATTAAAAAAAAATTAAATTTTTCAATTAAAAAAAAGAATAAAAATTATTTAATTAATTACCCAATGCCAATGATATATACTCTTTTTCAGGATTAGGAGTAACTTTCATTTTAAAAACTACATCTCGAATAGGATTTATTGTACGTTGGGATACAAACGAGGCAGGAATATTCCAAATTTTTTTTGTACGAGTATTAATATTAGAAGAATTCTGAGATGTTTCTTGAATAGAAGACATGTTTCCTAAACTTAAATTGATAGCTCATTACTCAACAAGTTTAAATACTGTAGATACTTCTCAAAAATTTAAAAATGACACATTACCTAATATAATATTATATTTGATAGTAATTTGCTTATATAGTATTACGTGTAACTCCCGCCTCGGTTAAGGTATGGTTTTCACATGCTCATATTCCATTAACTTGAAGATTGGCTAACCATATTAGTTTTAAATAGTCGGACTTGATTTAGTTTAGTTTATTTTGTTCTCAGAATAGATAAGCATAATGGACATTTGTATGTTACACAATATAAAAAATCGACATCAATGTCAATCGATTTAAAGTAATAAAAATGCGATATTTTTAATGCAACTTTTTTTGCATTGCATTATTATCGTTATGTCGTTCGTTCTTTTCCTTACACTTGGGTAAAAAACGTTCTGGTGATCTCTGCTCTAAAGAAACCGAAGTTTTAAAGGTTTTATTAATTAATATATGTATATTAAAATATATTTACCAAGTTATTATAAATTCTAAAGCATTTTTAAAGTATACCAATATTTTTCTTCTATTATTTATTTTTCTTCTTCCTCTTCTTTGTTTTCATTATCATCATCTTATTAATATTATCATATCTTTCTAATCTTTTATATAGGATTTACATTAAAGACAACACCCTTCTTATAGAATTTTAAACAATAATTTCACTGATTATTGCGTTCTGCAAAACATTTGTGATGAAAGCATTTCCATATATCAACATTATACCTTCTTCTTATTTAAATTTTTGATTAAAACAATTTTGTTATATTAGTTTTTATTGTCTTTACTTAATTGAATCATTTTAATATTAATTTTACTAATAAATATTTATAAAAATAAAGATTTTTTTAATATGTACAGTACTTATTTTATCTTTTTTTGGTAAATTATATGACGATCAATTTCGCACCAATAAAAATTGTGATATTTCAAAAAAAAATTTCTACCTTGCTGAATAGATAGAGGTTTTTGTCATTTCATGTATTTGATTGTATAAATTTATCATTACAATATATAACTTTAGTTAAAATGGTACTTGTTAAATTTTTTCATATTCTCGCGATTAATTTGTTAATATTGATTCATTAACTTTGTTTTATTAATATTTTAGTCGATTTCTAAGAATTCTAAGATGTTAAACCTGATAAATTACCGTCTCCGTATAACTCTTGCGGATTCGCGTGTTTTAACAGGTCAAATGCTTGCTTTTGATAAACATATGAATCTTGTCTTGGCAGATTGTGAAGAATTCAGAAAGATCAAACCAAAAAGTGGTTCAAAAGTTCCTCAGGGTCAACCTGAACAAGAAGAGAAAAGGACATTAGGTTTAGTTATTTTGAGGGGTGAAACTATTATTAGTTTAAGCGTGGAAGGTCCACCACCACCAAATGCCGATGATTCGAAAAGCAAATTGCCCCAAGTAAAATTTACTTTATATTTTCACATTAAATAACTTTATCTGTATGATTATGTAAATGATAGTAACTTATTGATTAATTAGTTGCCGGGTGGTACTGGTATAGGTCGACCAGCGGGTAGAGGTTTACCAGTAGCTCCGCCAGGTGTTGCACCAGCAGGTTATTGTTACCTTCTTTTTTTTTTATCCTTGCTAGAGATTGGAATCGATCAAAGTTTTGTAACTAAACACGATCAACTAGTCGACTAACAATAACCTATTCCGATCAATATCGTAATACTTATGATCTATTTTTTTTTTATTCGTTAGGTCTCACTGGTCCTGTACGAGGTGTAGGTGGACCAGCTCCAGGAATGATGCAACCAAGAGGAGGCGCACCGGCAGCTGCGGCAGCTCCCATATCATATGGACGTCCGCCAATTCCAGGACAAATGCCTACGGCAATGCCACCTGGTATGACACCTAGACCAGGTATGCCTCCTGTTATGTCAGGTATGCCTCCAGGTGGTTATAGAGGAGGAATGGGACCACCACCTGGAATGCCTGTTATGGGAATGCCACCGGGAGGTTACAGAGGAGGCGCTCCTCCAGGTATGCGACCACCACCACCAATGGGAATGGTAAGTAAATCAAATCGAATTTGTTTAATATCTCATAAATCCAAGTGACTTTGAATAAAATTTAAATTATTGTAAATTTTCTTTTATATTAGCCCGGTGGGCCTCCACCATATCCTCAAGGGCGTAGTGGTATGCCTCCAGGGTAAGTTTTTTTTTTTTTTGATCTATAGATACACACATATATTTTTTTACATTTATGATTAATTTTTTCTGTTCCATATAGTTTTCCTGTACCTGGTCAAGCTCCACCTCAAGGTTTTAGGCCTCCACCGCAAATGCGACCGCCTGGAGGTCCTCAACAAGGCCAAGGTCGAGGCCAACAACAATAAATGACTAATCTATTTAAGGCCGCACCGTTTGTTTAACATACACCCTTATTTGTTAAAGTGAAATAAAATTAGACAAAATATTCTCTAACCATTTTTTCCTTGATGTAAATTGACAGATTCGTTTAGAAGAGGTTGTGTTTGATATAAGGTAAATTAATAATAATGTGTTTTCTAATTTGTTCACATTCAAGTCATATCAAACTGAGATATTAAAGAATAAATTCCGTTTTTTTGAACCTACAAATCAATAGAAAATAATATAAAATATAAATATTATAAAAAAGTTAATAAATGTTTCATTTGATAGCTTCAAAATATTACTATCTAAAGTAAGTAGTATAACCAACTTAAAAGTTTTAAACATAATGATAAAAATATTAATTTTAATTTTTTAAAAAAAGAATATCTTCAAAATATACCAATTTTATTATAAATCAATATTACTGTAATCATTTAGTTAAAAAAATCACCTTTAATTATTTGCTAAAGTTTTAAATTTTTAGTTTTTATTATACTTTTTTGAGTATCAAAATGATTAGCTACATAAATCTGAAGAAGCATTGTGCATATGTATCATCAATAATGGTCTATAGATCTTATGTATTAAATTACTATGTAAATACAAATTCGAAAACCTCATATTTTCCAATTAATTTGTGCCAAACTAGGAGAAATAAAGTTTCATAAACTCATTCTACTTTAATAGTAAAAATTTTTTTGAGATCCTGCACTATGATACAACTTTGCTTTGAAATTTTTATATTATATAAAAAATATATTAATAATAAATTTGTAAAATTTTTATACCTATGTCTTATAAATTTATTTCACTTTAATTAAAACCTATTACCATATTCTGTTATTTTTAAATTATTGCCTGATCTTGTGCATCTTCTAATGCTATTTGCTCATATTCTTCTAAATTCCATCCAATATCAGATTTTAAAACTTTATAATGATGTAGTTTATGTGCCAAAGAACGAATAATTTTGTCACTGTTTAAATAATTGGAATCAGTTTATTTTATTTGTTTTGTTTTAATTAATACATATATATATATACACTTGCGTCACTTACCTGGCCTTGGTTTGACACCAAATACAATAATCATCTAACCATATTTTTGAATATATATAATAAACATCATGATGGTCAAATAAATCTTTTAATTCCAATAAAACTTTTAAAATAGCACGTCTTCCTAATTTAAAAAGAACATAAACATCATCTTGACATTTTTCGGTAAGCTCATAATTTCTACGCAAAGGATAAGCTAATGATCGTCGATATAATGTTTTCATGATCTCTTCTAAACTGTTGAATTGCTGAACAAAAGAATTAATTTTCTGATAGTGAATAATTAGTGAATCATTATAAAACTTACCTCAAGACAAGATATTGTCGGACTTATTTTTCCTATGATCCATGCCGATTCAACAGTATTTTCTCCTTCAAAAACCCTATGATTATAACTATAAGCAAACAACAAATCTACTAGACCATAATAAATAGATTCTATATTTTCAAGTAGATCTAATGATAAATAATTAATATATCTTTTTTTTTAAAAAAAATTACAACATAAATGAAATATTTGAAACATTGTACATTGCTTATTTGGTAAATTCCGCATAATCATATTTTCTTTTTCAGTGAATTTTAATACAGCCAAAACATCATTGGTTACGTCGTTCGTTGTTGGTGGCGCTGAAGTGTCCTGTCTTTCTATTGTTGAGACTGTCTCATTAACGGTAGTTTCATTTTTATCATTGTTTTGTAATCGTTTCAATTCTTTCCACCATAATGTCTTTGATTTAATGAGGTATTTAATTTCTTCCGCACTCATAAAATCGGCTCTATTCCAAAATTTGAAATAATAATAATAATAATATATAGAGAAAGTTAGTTTATTTTCATATTTTTCTTCCTGCCAATTTTTTTCTTTAATTTGCGGGTCTTTATCTCACAAAGCATTTCAATATGAAATAAATAGGATAATAGGATTATATTACATATAGTGATCTGGATCAAATTTGTTGTTTTCGGCATTAATTCGGTCCTTACGACGCGATTCTGGTGTAGATTTCTCTGGATTAGTTATATCTATGATTTCATTACATGTTTCTTGTACATGCATGAAATATCCTGAATAAAGTCCATTGAATCCGTATTTTGCTGTAGATAGTAATTCCTGATAAAATAAATACATTATGCATTAAATAAATAAAAATAAAAATGTGAATAAAAAAAAAAAAAAAAATTTACCTTTTCATGAGAAACCTGTTGCGGCAACTCCCAATCATAAGCATTAGCTAAATATAAATTTAAAGTTAAATATTGAATAAGTTTATAAACTGCCTTGATAAATATTTTACCTTCCTCTAATAAATTATATATCCGTTTAGCCTCATTCTCATCGTTGATTTTTCCATCAAATATTTCTTGAATTAAAGGTTTAGATTTTTGTTTTTCATTATGATTATTATTGGATTCACTATTTAATTCCCGTATTAAAAAATCCTCGTTATTATCTTCATAAAGCTTTTGTTCATTTTCCTTTTCAAATAACCTAATAAACTCGTTATTTTCATGATTAACTTCATCATTATTATCGCCTTCAATGACTTCAATTAAAGGCTTTTCAGGAATTTTCTTAACACTTTTTGGAGCTAAAAGTTTGGTCAATAAATCTAAATCCGGGAATTCCATTCCAGGAGTTTCCTTTGGTATCTTTAAATTCATTTCACCAGCCGCAATATCATATGAGGCATTAACACGATCATCATCCACTAAATTGCCAGGAAAATGAAGCCTATTCATGCAATCAATAACATATTTTTTTTAAAAAAACTCAAAGCTGTTAATATATGGGATGATTTCTAGGAAAATCAGGTTCTGAAATTTTTTCAACAAAATTGAGCATTTTAGTTTTGGATGTTATTAGATTAAAAATGCAATAAGATCGTAATTTATCAAAAATTCTAAGAACCTGATTTTCCCAATATTGTAAAAACTATAGGTTTACTACCTTAAGTAATATGGCTTTGCATAGAAGGTGAAATCAGAACCTTCACAATAAAGTTCGATATCCGATACCTAATAATAATAATGAAGTAAATCTCCAAAGTTATTTAATTCATTAATATAACTCACCTTTATGTAAGGAGTTTTAATAACGATTATAACAAGATTCGGGTCTTGCGTAATTGTAAAAACTGGTGTAATCATTTTATAATCCTTTCGTTGAAAACTTTTATTCTGTATTCACGTGTAAATACATGGATTTTCAACTAACATAATGGATTTTTTACCTTATTAGATCGTCGGTTTGTGCGATCATTTGATTGATAGATAATGTTTATTATTTATAAAATAAGAACACCTCTGATGTTCTTTGATCATGTTTTGTTCTGTCATGAAGGCGAATATGTCAAGGTGGGAGATATCAACATTTTCTCAGGTGAAACACCTATTAAGGGTAAAATAGGCTTATTCTAGTAAAAAGATGTTTTGATCTAAAACAGAAAATACTCTTAGCATCTTAGTAAGGGTAAACTTAGGTCTTGTATATCATAAAGCGAAAGAATTTTAAAGCAGATATTGCATACATCTACAGTTATCCTATGCAACTCAAAGTAGCAAGTCTTATTATAGACTATAGTATCTATGATGGATCCTTTAACTGAAAAGACAACAAATACATATTTTGTTTTTAGGATCCTGGTCATAAAAATAAATATAGATTCAAATTATAAAATCAAGAATTTTCATCAGAAACGGGCAATATATTGCAGACCATCCTATTGATTTTTTAAGCAGCCTGACAGCATTGGTTGTATTAATAAGGATTTGAATAATAGCTAAATCAAATCCATCATCACGAAATTTCTGCTTTACCGATTCCTCCAAATATTCACGAAAAGAATCATAAATCATTAATATTGGAGTCCTGGATCTGTCAACCATTTTGACATCTTTGAGATAATCAACATACTGTTTCATTAATTTGAAGTCCATCCAACCATTTGTTTGAAACAAAATCATTACGCCAGAAGGTATTTGTTCGCCTTTTGGTAGTTGCTTCACCTTAAAAATACAGATCGAAGGAAACTTTGTGCCATCTACAATAAAAAAAGAATTTAATGTTAAACAAAATAAAATAAAACATTTGAAATCTTCGAAATATTGTTGAAAATCAAATAAATCATTAAATCAAAAAAAAATATGTTTGAAATATTCCCAAATAAACCAAACCCTCTATAGTAAGAAATCAGAACCATAAGCTTAGAAGTTAGAAACATAAGCCTGAAAATCAGAACTATAAGCCTAAAATCACCATAAGCCTAAAGTTGGAATCAAATTGAAACTATAAGCCTAAAAAGTAGCGTGGATCTATAATAAAATCTAAAAATCAGAATCATAAAATCCTAGAAATGAAATCACGAAACCATCACAATATTTAAAATTGGAATCTAAAACTTAGAAATTGATCTTATATTTGAAAAACGATTTTTAAATAAATTAGCTCAGAGACTGATTGAAATAGATATTTCTACTAAAGTAAATCAACAGCCTGAAAATAAAAACTTTGGTTAAAATAGAACTTGTTAAATTTAATTTTCTTATGATGAACTTAAAAATAATTTATACCTACCTGCTGCACATGTTAAAACCATGGTAAATCAGTTTTTATCATTACCGGTACTGCGAATTTGAACTGTTTTCTTTCTCTTTGGGTTGATAGTAAAATTTTCCGCCATATCAAACCACACTGGCGTTTCATTTATATTATAATGTTACACAATTCAAAGGATTTTTCAGTTCTCAAATGGATAACAAATTGATGAAATCTGGCTAATGATTCTTCCGTTTGATTCGGAAGCTTTTGGGAAATTTTTGTACGTCTTCTTAAAGACAGTTTATATCTTTTTAGAAAATAGGATAACTATCAATCTGACATTTTGAAATCTTTTGCCAAATCTTCATACAAATTTAGCATTTCAGACGTCTTCAGAATATCTTGCATTTTAATTCGTAAAATCACGTAAGTGACTGCTAATCCTTGTTTTCTTTGCTCAATAACCTAAGCATACAACTTATCTTCAGCCTCAAGATAAAAGGCTTTTTAACCTGAGCCAATTTGTTTACTGCCTTGGTTTATTTCAGTATTCCAATTTTACTTGCTTTTATCCAATGATCTATCATACTAGTATCAAACTGAAAATGGTCTGCCGCTCTATTTCGTTTATGCTGCTTAGCATAAGTAATTACTTGATTCTTCTGGTCAATAGAATATGAAGTATGTTTACATTTGTTAACTTTGTATTTTATTATTTTTCGTGAGAGGCTAAAAACAGTTTTGAAAAACGTTTTATATTATAAAATTATTTGGTTACATAAAATCATTATTTTGGTTGCATGAGATCATCATTAGTAGTTTCAAACATTTGGAATGAGTATTGGGAAAATGGACCAAATTGATTTTTTTTTTTAAAAAAAAGTTCAAAAGTAAAATAAATGTAGATTTGGTTATCTGATTCAGATCATTTGTTATTTCAAAAAAAAAATTTTTTTGTTGATTTAGTCTTTTTTCCTAGCATTCACCCCATTTTTGTAATGCAATTTTAAAGAGAAAAAGATTTTTTAAAAAACCATTTGAAATCAAGCATCCATATAGTAAAAAGGGATGTTTAATTTCAGAAGTATATGATATTATCATTCTTAAGAAACGATTCAATTATCATTCCAAAAAAATGATTGTTCATTTATCGTTCTATTGGAACAATTCTTTTATTGTTCCTTTAGAACAATTTATTATTATTCTATCAGAATGATTTTATTTATCGTTCCTTTAGAATGATGTATTATTATTCTATCAGAACGATTCTTTTATCATTTCTTTAGAATGATATTTTATCATTTTATCAGAACGATTCTTCTATCATTTCTTTAGAATGATGTTTTATCATTCTATCAGAACAATTCTTCTATCATTTCTTTAGAATGATTTTTTATGGTTCTATCAGAACAATTCTTCTATCATTCCTTTAGAATAATGTTTTATCGTTTTATCAGAATGATTTTTCTATTATTTCTTTAGAATAATGTTTTATTGTTATATCAGAATGATTTTTCTATCATTCCTTTAAAATGATTCTTTTATCATTTTTTTAAAACAATGATTTATTGTTTAATCAGAACAAATAACTTGAGTCAAGTCGAGTTGAGGTTTAAAAATTTTTTGATTTGACTCAATTCGCTCAATCCAACTTATTCAGAATTCTAATTATATGCTTCTCCCGAATTTCTTCAAACTGTGATTTGGTCATTTGACTTAAAAAGAGCAAACCTTGATTTATCTGACTATACTATTTACTTCTATTCTTCTTTTCAGTTTTTTTTTTATACTATATTAAATAATCATTTTGTTATTATTCAGTCAAAAGAGGTTTTTTACATGTAGTATAACTAACCACTAAGACCACATCATAAAGATACTTTTTAACTGTAGTATTATGTAAAGTTGTGTTAAGGTTAGAGTTTAGTTTGTCTATTATATCACCAAAAGAAGTAATGTCATAGTGGTTATCATTGTTGACTTGATCTTATTTCCCAAAAAATTTGAAATCTTTTTTAGGGTTACATTTCTTACTACCTCACACACAATCCTATTATTACATAAAAAAATGACTGACTGATTTTTTTAAATTACTTTAAGGTCTTGAGAAAACTGATTGGTTTGAATGATACTGAAACCCAAATAATCGAAAATGTGACACAGTAAAATGATCTACAAATAATCAACATATGGATTGATCTACAAAATCAATGACACAATGATCTGCAAAAGTGATCTGCAGAATTAACCAGATCAGTTAATGAAAAAATGAAGTAATAGATCATTAGCCCATGATGATACACATAATTCTCTAAACTAGAAACTTCAAATAAGAACTTCAAGGAGAAACTAGTCAAAGGCTAAGTATAAAGATGTAGCAATAATTTAAAAGCAATATAATTATATTCTCTACATCTCTTCAAATATATATATTTGTGATACCTGACGAAATTACCTTTCTTAATATGACGAAATTGACGAAACTGAAATGACAAAACTAGTTTTTTTATTAATAATAAAATTATATTTAACTTGATCTAAATTTTTTGAATTAAAATACATTAAAAAATATAATAATTTTATATTTATTCATGTAAAAATATTAAAGAAACAAAACTTTTGACGAAACTATAATTTTTCAAAAAAGAGTTTAGGTGAGTATTACTAATATATATATTATAGTTATAAGACTATTGCATAGCAATTAGGTAGTTATTACTTAATTATTATAACTGAATTATATAAAGAAAAGATGAGGAAATCATTATATAGTTTTTATGCAATAGATAGCAATTTAATGTAGAAATTTTATTATAAATAAGCTGAGTTTTTTATCATATAATGATAAAAATTTAGGAAGAAGTTTAAAAGAGAAACTTAGAAAATTTGAAAGATAATTTATTAGTTAATAAAAATCTTTGCCAAATTGTCTTGGCAAATCAATCACCTGTGTCAAACATATTTTTGTGTCAAAATACTTTGTGTTAACCTTGTTTAATATTATTGATTTATTCATGTCAATAAATCTCTTAAGTGTTAAATATCTGCTTTGTATTAACAACTGTGTTTAAGAGTCACCAACGAGTTAAAGTATTTAAATTGTGAAATACTTTAAGCTAAGTATCACCAATCTGGTTATAATAATAGTATTATAATCAGGTTTTGGAAGTATAGTGTTAGTTATACATGAAGTCGAAATGGATCATTTCGGATATCCGAAATGGTCGAAATGGTCGAAATCATTTTTTTTTTTTT